TTCATGCGACCATCAAATATTAGTGAGCGGGCATGACAGAAATTTTTTTAAAAACGTACGAATTTCTAAACGATGGAAGAATCGTTTGAGAAATATAAACTGACAAAGAAATGAGCATGAGCTGTGACCTGGAAAGAAAATTCATGGCCACGAAAATTCTTTTCTGTAGCAAGAGGTGAAATTGAAGGCTTGGTTGGTCAAATGTTGAAATAAACGGCGGAGTCATCTGACAATTTCTGTATTTCTAAAGAAAATTCATTCAGAATTGGACCCACGCATGGCCTGCATAAGTATGCATCTTAAACAACTCCCAGCCAACTGAACGCAACTGGGTCTATTAACGGGGGGCCACACATGTACTTGCGTGCTGAGAGCACAATGCGTAGCATGCTACCAGCACACAAACCAAGTTCACCGAGAGCCCCAAGTCCTGTGCTATTAGGAAGCAGGAGGCTAGTCCTCCAGCAGTGCCCAGGTTCAGGAATTGTGGGATCTCACCTATGTCAGGGGAGGACGGGAACTGCAGGACTTGTTACCCCAGAAGCAGATATTAGGCTTGCAGACATCAGGATACACCAGTTCCATCAAAAGATGACTGTGGCCTTGCAACCCAGTAGCAGTGCCCAAGTTCATACTCTGGAGATGTCTGCTGAGCTTGCCTTATCTAAAGTATCCAAATTGTATCTTCCATTGAACTATTTAGGAGAAAAGGTAAATTGCAACAAAAGTGACTGAGGCCACTTACAAGTCAGCTTGTCTATCATTTTTATTAACTCACCAAGAATGTCATCTGACTACTAGAAGCAGATTAGCCACTGGGAGAGCAGAGCCCCACTTCAGGAATATATAGGTGCTGCCGGCACAGGCTGAGGACTGCAGGCCTTGTTACCCGAGCAGCAGTGTCTAGGCTCAGGAATTGTAGGATATCCCAACTGTCCATGGAGGCCAAGAACTGCAAGCCTTGTAATCCTTGCAAGGACCAGATTTAGGAATTGTGGGATATACCAGCTTTGTCAGGAAAGACTTACCCAGAAGCAGTGCCTAGGCTGAGAAATTGAAAGATACAAGCTGTTAGGGAAGACCAAGCACTCCAAGGTTTGGAAACCCAAGAGATCCAGCTGTGGAATATACCAATTCTGTTGCATGTTGACCACTGCAAACCTTACCCCAGGGACAACAAAGGTTAGAAGATTGAGCTATAAAACCATTAGATGAGGCCGAGTACTGCAGACTTTGTTATCCCAGATCAGCAGACGTGTATTGTGGAATAACCACTGCAAGCCTTGGATACTCCCAAGAGCAGGAAATGCAGAAATACTTAGCCAATGTAACTTCAAGTACACCAATGCTTCAGCTTGGTACCTTTCAAATAAAGTAGCCCATCCAAGAACCTCAACAAATATTTAAGCTGCTTATCCACTGCGTAGTCTGGTTCTGGAGTTTTGGAAAACACTAATCCTGATAGCACAAACATTACCTGTGTACTGCAAGAGCATATCTGACTTGACCAGGCCAAACACTGCAGATCTCATCAAAGCCTAGGCTCAGATTCCAATATCCTGGGGCAACCAAAGCACACTTAACCCAACACTATCTCAGGGTAACCAAAGCCTGCAGGCCCCAACCACCACTACCTAGGGGTAACCAAGGCCTGCAGACCCCAACCACCACTACCTAGGGGTAACCAAAGCCTGCAGAACCCAACCACCACTACCTAGGGGTAACCAAGGCCTGCAGACCCCAATCACCACCTAGGGGTAAACAAGGCCTGCAGACCCCAATCACCACCTAGGGGTAAACCAAGGCCTGCAGACCCCAACCACCACTACCTAGGGGTAAACCAAGGCCTGCAGACCCCAACCACCACTACCTAGAGGTAACCAAGGCCTGCAGACCCCAACCACCACTACCTAGGGGTAACCAAGGCCTGCAGACCCCAACCACCACTACCTAGGGGTAACCAAGGCCTGCAGACCCCAACCACCACTACCTAGGGGTAACCAAGGCCTGCAGACCCCAACCACCACTACCTAGGGGTAACCAAGGCCTGCAGACCCCAACCACCACTACCTAGGGTAACCAAGGCCTGCAGACCCCAACCACCACTACCTAGGGGTAACCAAGGCCTGCAGACCCCAACCACCACTACCTAGGGGTAACCAAAGCCTGCAGACCCCAACCACCACTACCTAGGGGTAACCAAAAGCCTGCAGACCCCAACCACCACTACCTAGGGGTAACCAAAGCCTGCAGACCCCAACCACCACCACCTAGGGGTAACCAAAGCCTGCAGACCCCAACCACCACCACCTAGGGGTAACCAAAGCCTGCAGACCCCAACCACCACCACCTAGGGGTAACCAAAGCCTGCAGACCCCAACCACCACCACCTAGGGGTAACCAAAGCCTGCAGACCCCAACCACCACTACCTAAGGATAACCAAAGCCTGCAGACCCCAGCCACCACTACCTAAGGGTAACCAAAGCCTGCAGACCCCAACCACCACTACCTAAGGGTAACCAAAGCTTGCAGACCCCAACCACCACTACCTAGGGGTAACCAAAGCCTGCAGACCCCAATCACCACTACCTAGGGGTAACCAAGGCCTGCAGACCCCAACCACCACTACCTAGGGGTAACCAAAGCCTGCAGACCCCAACCACCACTACCTAGGGGTAACCAAGGCCTGCAAAGCCCAACCACCACTACCTAAGGGTAACCAAAGCCTGCAGACCCCAACCACCACTACCTAGGGGTAACCAAGGCCTGCAGACCCCAACCACCACTACCTAGGGGTAACCAAGGCCTGCAAACCCCAACCACCATTACCTCAGAGTAACTAAGGCCTGCAGACATCAGACACCTCTACCTAGGAGTAACCAAATCCCAGAGTCTCCAGCCACACATCTAAAGGTAGCCAAAGCCTGCAGTCACAAACCCCATCCAACCTAATACTGGGGTAACCAAGGACTGCAGACACCAGCCACCCCTATCCTGGGGTAACCAAATCCCAACCTGCAGAACCCCGATCTAGGAGTAACCAAAGCCTACAGTCCCCAGGCACCAAATCTAGTAGTAACCCAAGCCTACAGCCTCCACCCCTATTCCCAGGGTAACAGGCCACAGTACGCAGCCACCTCTATCACAAACTAATCAAAGCCTGCAGCCCCGATCCACCCCTATCCTAAGGGGACCCAAAATCGACAGCCACCTAAATCGCAAAGTATGCAAAACCTGCAGTCCACAGCCACCCCTATCTCTGGGTAACCAAAGCCTGCAGTCCCCAGCCACCCATACCCAGACGTAACCAGAACCTGCAGCACCCCATCAGAGCTTGCATAGACGAGACCAGTCCTTAGCACAGTCCCCGGAGTAACAATCTCCTGCTGTACCCAGAGTAACGAAGGCCAGCAACGCTCAGCACCCCCTAATAGTGCCTGTACACAATACAGCACCAAACCTAATTGTTCCCGCAACAACTACGCAACCGTAACTAAGGCCTGCAGCACCTAACCAACCCATGATCATCAAAGCATGCAGTCCTTAGCCACCCCTATCTAGGGGCAACCAAAGTCCAGTCTGCAGCCACCTCAACCAAAAGAAGCAAAGCCCAGCCACCTCTAATTCTGGGTGACAAAAGCCAGCAGTCCCCAGCCACAGCTATCCCAGGGCAACCAAAACTGAATCCTCAACCATACTTATCCTGGGGTATCCAAACACTGCAGACCCCAGCGACCCCTATCCAGAGTAATAAGTCTGCAACACCCTATCAGAGCTTGTATAGACCCTCAACAGCTCCAGAGATAACTAAGGCCCGCACTCCCCAGCCCAGGCACAACCATGGCCCGCACTCCCCAGCCCAGGCACAACCATGGCCCGCACTCCCCAGCCCAGGCACAACCATGGCCCGCACTCCCCCCAGCCCAGGCACAACCATGGCCCGCACTCCCCAGCCCAGGCACAACCATGGCCCGCACTCCCCAGCCCAGGCACAACCATGGCCCGCACTCCCCAGCCCAGGCACAACCATGGCCCGCACTCCCCAGCCCAGGCACAACCATGGCCCGCACTCCCCAGCCCAGGCACAACCATGGCCCGCACTCCCCCAGCCCAGGCACAACCATGGCCCGCACTCCCCAGCCCAGGCACAACCATGGCCCGCACTCCCCAGCCCAGGCACAACCATGGCCCGCACTCCCCAGCCCAGGCACAACCATGGCCCGCACTCCCCAGCCCAGGCACAACCATGGCCCGCACTCCCCAGCCCAGGCACAACCATGGCCCGCACTCCCCAGCCCAGGCACAACCATGGCCCGCACTCCCCAGCCCAGGCACAACCATGGCCCGCACTCCCCAGCCTGCCACAGCCCAGCAACGGCCGTGGCCCGCACTCCCCCCTGCCCAGCGACGGCCGTGGCCAGCAGTCCCCCTTCCCAGGTACGGCAGTGGCCCGCACTCACCAGCCTCCCCCTGCCCAGGTACGGCCTTGAACTGCACTCGCCAGCCAGGGGCGGACTGACAACTCATGGGGCCCCCGGGCAAAAGGGGATCATGTGGCCCCTGTGTCCTTGTCCAAACTCAAAAAAGCCTATGAAAAAGGTACCAGTGGCATCCCATGGGGCCCCCTACTGACCCCAGGCCCTCGGGCAGTGCCCGAGTGCTCGAATGGTCAGTCCACTTCTGTCACCAGCCTCCCCTGCCCAGGAAGGGTCCATGGCCCGCACTCCCCCCAGCCTCCATGCCCACCCCCCCCAGCCTCCATGGCCCACACAGCCCCCAGCCTCCATGGCCCACACAGCCCCCAGCCTCCCCACACAGCCCCCAGCCTCCATGGCCCACACTCCCCCCAGCCTCCATGGCCCACACAGCCCCCAGCCCCCATGGCCCACACAGCCCCCAATGGCCCACACAGCCCCCAACTTCCCGGTAGTAGCCGAGATCCCCTCCATGCCAGCTAGCCCGCCCCCCCGGTGCAGGCGGTCGCCGTCCAGGTCCTCACCCTTGAGGGAGGCCTCCACCAGGCGGAGGTAGAGGTGGCTGCTCTTGTTGCCGTGGCTCATCTTCTGGGCCAGGCCGTTCCTCTGGAGGACGCACTCCTCGAAGCGGACGATGTTGGGGTGCCGGCGGCGGAGGCTGGTCAGGGCCCAGAACTCGGACAGTGCCAGCTCCACGTTCTCCGGGGCGTCACAACGGATTTTCTTGACCGCCACCCGGGCTCCGCTCTTCCGGGCCACCGCCTCGTAGACCACACCGTACGTGCCCCGTCCGATCTCGGCTAGCAAGCTGTACCGGGGCCGGGAGACCTCTCCTCCTCCGGGGGGCCGGGCGGCGTCCTCGTCTTTCTCCACCTGCTTGACCCCGGCCTCCTCCGCCTCCCCGGGCCGGCAGCTGCCGTTCACAGTGAGGGGGGCGGGGAGGCGCTCTCCCAGGGGCCGCCGGCGCCGCTTCCGCTCGGAGGATTTTAGCGGCTTCCATGGCCGGGCCTCATCGCTGGGCGGGTGACGGAGCGGGAGCAGGCCGACTTGGGATCACCGGGTGTGAGGGGTACACGCCCACCCAGCATGGAGCAGCGGCCAGCCGGTTCTTTCTATACTGAGCAGCCCGACAGCCTGAGAGAGAGTTATAGAATGGGATGTACCATTACTGCAAAACTCAAATGGGGGGAGGAGGACTTTCACAGAATTTAATCCCAGCCCACACACCAAACGTACCCTCATTCCCAACCCTCTATCGTTTTATAAACATTGGAACACTCATACATTTCTATTGCTCCGCTAGTAAATCAACCAGGAGCTAAAAAAAAAGGTTTAAAATTCCAATTTGTCCTCCCCTATTCTTATGGTACGTCCCGCAGAGGGGCCGAGTGTAAACACAGCCTTTCGGAACGAACCAAGCCCCTCTGTAGGGGTGGTCGAGAGTCACATGGGACACCAAAGAGTGAGTTCATATTCAAGAACACCCGCCGTAATGGTAGACGGGAACGGGCGTAGTAACGAGGCACGGGAAAAGCAAAGCTACGCTGGGGGTAACTGGGTGAAACGAGGCGTTTGACTCCCCCTCCCCCTGTGTCGTAGTGGGACCGGCCCGGCTGGATGAGCTTGAGCCCGTCACGTGCGCTGAAAAGCGCGCCGGCGGCGATTGGAGGAGGTCACGTGGTGCGCAGTGAGGGCAGAGAGAGTGACAGATGGCGGGAGAGAGGAGAGCTTGGCGGGGGGAGCCGTCATGGAAGAGCCTGCAGATGTCTTCTTGGTTACATAATGGGTCTGAAACCATTTGTTTTCCATGACTGTTGCCAAGTACGGTGAAATCTCAGTCAGGGTATTGCCTTGGAGGAAATTTTTCTTCACTTCCTGATTTGGGACAGACCTGGAAGTGAGAGGAAATCTCTAAAGTGAGAGAAACGTTCTGTGAACTCCAGGGGGAGAATTATCTACATGTCAGGATGCACTTTAATGGCCAACACTCCAGTGAGGCCGCTACATGGATGGCGGTGTGGTTTTGTAGGCCCTGTGTCACTGCCCCGCCCCTTTCTTGTTCTTTGGATTTCAAGGAGATGTCCATGTTCCTGTGACAACCATACAATTCATGAAACCGTGGCTGAGGTCATCTTTATACACACGAGGCCTTGTGTGTAGGCTCTGAGAGGGACCACAGGCTGGCCTTCGCTAAGGCCGTGGTCACCCTGCGCCTCTGCATTTTGGCTGCAGGGGGGGTGTATAGTCACCAAGGGTGGACTGACCTTTTGGGCATTGCCCGAGGGCCCAGGGTCAGTGAAGACTGTGCTCTTTCAAGCCATGGTCCCACTGACTTCTATTAGGTCACACCCAGCCGCGGACTGACAACTCATGGGGCCCCCGGGCAATAGGGGATCATGGGGCCCCTGTGTCCTTGTCCAAACTCAAAAAAGCCTATGAAAAAGGTACCAGGGGCATCTCATGGGGCCCCCTACTGACCCTGGGCCCCCCGGGCAGTGCCCGAGTTTCCAAATGGTCAGTCCGCCCCTGTTCACACCTTTCAGCAGGGGCGAACTGACCGTTTGGAAACTTGGGCACTGCCCGAGAGCCGGGGTCAGTAGGGGGCCCCATGAGATACCTCTGGTACCTTTAATAGGCTTTTTTGAGTGTGGGTGAGGACACGGGCCCCGTGATCCCCTGTTGCCTGGGGGGCCCCATGAGTCGTTAGTCTGCCCCTGATGTGCAGTTTGTGCGTTTAGGAGTCGTGGGCCCATTTTTTTTTATTCAGTACAACATTTCTGTAAAGTACACTGAAAGTCCTGCATGTCTGCTGTGCAGGGGCGGACTGACAACTACAGGGCAGGAAGAGAAGGGAAATCTTCCCAAGGGGACACAGATGGCAAAAAAAACCACCTCTTCCATAGGCCCCTTTGCATTACACTTATGTGCATTTTTTTCACACATAGATCAATAAAAATGAAAAAAAATCCCACATTTCTGGTTGTCACCAACAGTAAATAGAGGGGAAATCCTATAATAAACAATAACAATGTTGCAGCACTGTTTTTTTTTTTTTTTTTTTACTTAGTGATACTGTTACAGCGTATCAAAAGGCACCAGTTTTTGATTTTCTCACTCTATCCAGCAAGCCAAGAACATCCCAGCAATGTAACTAGCGTTCTATTCCTTTGCCCACAGTTTACCCCTTCATTTACCTATCATTCTATCGATCATTAGGGCTCATTTTACACTTGCTTCCCCCTCCTAAAAGTGGCAGTGAATTGCTTTTCAGTGGATGTTTGATAGGCAGTTAAGACGTGTTGTCACCTCCTCACTGACCATTTCAACCCTTAAAAACCATCACTGCAGCTATGTACATGGTTGCAGGGCTCTTGCAGCATTTAGTTGCTGGGGGTAAAAAATGTGGCTCAAACCCCCTGCGCCCCCCCCCCCCCCTGCAACCAAAAACTGGGCAGGATATACGCCAGTAGCAAAATTTGACTCCAATGTTTTTTGTTTTAACTTCCTTTCGATTTTCTAGTTAGTGGGGTCAAATCATTTTCAACCGTGTAGAAAACCTTTTCTTCAAATCACTTAGTCCCCTTCCTGAAGTACAAAATAACCTAAATAAATTCAGAATAGTCCACCACAAGTCCACACTATTATTAGGTCTTCAAGCGTTGAAAAATGTCCCATTCATCACTTCAAATCCAAGAAACTTGTGAGTATATATACTAATCCTCGAGACAGTTGGAAGTGACGAAACGCGTCAGGGTCGTGACGTCAGACGCAGAACCGGAAGGAGCAGCGCAGCCATCTTTGTTGTTGGTTTTAGCTATGTCTATGCTGGAACAGGATGGACATTTGTTTCTTTGAATGTAAGCAGCAATAAATTTGTTTTATTACTTGTACACCCCACTGAATCTTGCTCTTTGCTCTTTGAGGATCGGGGAACAATGGATTGAGTTATCCGCAAGGGGAATGCTGTTTAACCCCGGAGTATTTGATATGCCTATCTGAGCTGAAAGAGGGTAATAGTATTTAACCCTACCAGAGTGGTGGCACGTATTTGGATTGTGGATTAGTATATATACTCACAAGTTTCTTGGATTTGAAGTGATGAATGGGACATTTTTCAACGCTTGAAGACCTAATAATAGTGTGGACTTGTGGTGGACTATTCTGAATTTATTTAGATTATTTTGTACTTCAGGAAGGGGACTAAGTGATTTGAAGAAAAGGTTTTCTACACGGTTGAAAATGATTTGACCCCACTAACTAGAAAATCGAAAGGAAGTTAAAACAAAAAACATTGGAGTCAAATTTTGCTACTGGCGTATATCCTGCTCAGTTTTTGCTTGCGGGGGGGGGGGGGGCAGGGGGTTTGAGCCACATTTTTTACCCCCCATCAGCTAAATGCTGCAATAGCCCTGCAACCATGTACATAGCTGCAGTGATGGTTTTTAAGGGTTGAAATGGTCAGTGAGGAGGTGACAACACGTCTTAACTGCCTATCAAACATCCACTGAAAAGCAATTCACTGCCACTTTTAGGAGGGGGACTATTCTGAATTTATTTAGGTTATTTTGTACTTAAGGAAGGGGACTAAGTGATTTGAAGAAAAGGTTTTCTATATATTTGTACTTTCAAGGGTGAAAGGTTTACTTTTCTTTGGGGATGTTTAGAGGATCTGTTTTATGATTTTATCATTTTCAACCGTAGCAGCAAGATAATTAAAAGGAGCATGAGGTTTTTGTTTTGGAAATAAAATTCACTCCAAAATTGAATGATTTTGCATGACATTCGTCAAGTGATTGAAAGCACTGGTCCAGGGGCGGACTGACAACTCATGGGCCCCCCGGGCAATAGGGGATCATGGGGCCCCTGTGTCCTTGCCCAAGCTCAAAAAAAGCCTATGAAAAAGGTACCAGGGCCATCTCGTGGGGCCCGCTACTGACCCCAGGCCCTCGGGCAGTGCCCGAGTTTCCAAATGGTCAGTCCGCCCCTGTTCAGGTACGACTTTAATGCATCTTTTGAAGGTTAACATTGAAGCCTAAGGCCCTCAAGTTGCATGAAAATCGGACTAAAGTAGTGTACGAACTACATTGAAGTTGTTGCATGGGGTGTTAGACTCCTTTCAAACTCGTGCGCCTTGTCATGCGACTTTGATAGTGCATGGCAGATTGTACCCAATGTTTTCCAGTTATAACCATTCATATATTTGTGACCTAAAGTTGCAGCGACTTCAAAGTAGTTCATGTGCGATTTTGAAGTCTTTGGCCCACAAAATCAGACCAATGTTACCCCTCAAAAGTTGCATGAAAGTCATACCTGAATGTTTGTTTTACATGCAACTGTGGGTCCAGCTTTGGATAGGTGTGAATTGGATGTGACTTGTTGTCCCTATGCAAAGTTGCACTCCAAAGTCACATGATTTTGGAGTCCTACAAGTGTGAATGAAACCTGAAGAAAAATTAAAGACTTCTAGACAGTATGTTACACATAGTTACATAGTTGGTCCAGTGTAACTTTTATACCAGACAGCAGAGATGGGTATATATCACTGCTGTTTGGGTTGTGCTGACTGTAAGACTGATGAGTACTCCGTAATTCTCACCCATGCAGGGCGAGGGGTTCCAGGAAAAGAGGAAAACTCACTTGCAGTCTCCCCAGGATTATTAGGCTTCGTGCACACAGAGCATATGAATCTGTGCCCCATGTAAGGGCTGTGTTACCTGTGTGGATGCACAGGTGATCCTTGCATTTCCATTGCAGGCAGTCCCATAGATGTCAATTTGGATGCAGTGGCAGCACGGACCCAGCTGCTGCTCCCAGTGTTACACTTTTGCGGGTGCATAAGCTGAATTTGGGGGCTCAGAGAGATTTTGGGTGGGAAAGAGCCTCCAACCCTTATTAGAGGATGGGTTAACCCCCGTGAGAGAGGGTTGAAGAGGCCAAGAAGCAGTCAGCAGGTGTCCGTGAGGTAGAACAAGACATGCTTGTAAGAGGAGTTGTGTGGG